AGTGGTTCTAACCTACAGTATAAAACCTTAAACAGCTTGAGTCCAAGCTATCTCAAGGATAATGTCTCCCTTATGAGCCTATCAGGGTGTTAAGATCATCAGGGGAGATCTTCCTTCACAGATATGTTTGGTGGGAACACAGGAGAGGGTCTTCTCTGTAGCTGCCCCCAGACTCTAGAACTCCCTCCAACAGGAGACAAGACTGGCTCATCTTTGCTGTCCTTCCACAAGCTTTTTCCTCAGGCAGGCTTTCCCTGAGAGACCGTCTGCCTGAGTGGGGGTTTTAAATAGATTATTCTACCTTACTGCTTTGAATATTATTTTTGGTGTTGCTTATGTTTTTTTAGGATGGTATTTGTTCCATCCCTTTTATATTCTCACTGTAGTTAGCTTTTGTACTATCTTCTAATGATGTACGCCACCTTGGGTCCTTTTAAGGAGAAAGGTGGGGTGAAAATATTTAAAAATTAAAAAAAATTAAATAGTGACAAACTAAGCTCTGGACACTATTGCGTAGTATGTGTAACCTTAAGGACCACATGGCCTTTTCCTTGTTCTCTCAAAAACCTTGTTAGGCTTGCCATAAGTCAGAAATGACTTGAAAGATCGTAACTAACAAACACAATGATCTGTAGGCACACATAATCTATTCTCAATGTGGTCAAAAAGAGCACAGCTAGTGAGTGCAATGACACTGGAGGAACAAGCCCAACAATCTCATTACATGCTGGGTGAAGATGGGTGGAGGAGCTGTATGGCATCTTAAAGACTTAGAGCCAAAAACAAGGGGGGTCTTCTATTTCAAACAGAACAAGAGTAGGGACAATAATTTGTGCCACTTGATGCTATGGATTGCAACTCCCATCAACCCTAGTAAACATGGCCAATGGGAAGGGATGGCGGAAGGTGTAGTTCAACAACATCTGGGAGGCATAGGTTCTCACTCATGACCCATAGCAGTGGTTCGCAACCTTGGGTCTCCAGATGTTCTTGGACTACAATTCCCAGAAAACCTGACCAGCACAACTACTGGTGAAAGCTTCTAGGAGTTTTAGTCCAAGAACATATGGGGACACAAGGTTGGAACCACCGACCTACAGCAATGTAGTGACTGCTGAGTGTCTTGACTATGAAAAGCATTACATATGAAGTGGCCTCTAGCAAGCCATTTTCTTTCTCTGTCAGGATTGTCAGGGCATTTGTGACTATGGGAGAAGCCAAATTCCCACAGAAATCTACCTTCTAACTCTTGCCTCCATTCTAATTTGCGCACATAAAATTACCTCATTGATTTGCTTTCATCCACATACAAACCTTATGGCCATCATTCTGAAGTTTCTGCAGAACCTGCTTGAATCCAAGCAAGCTAGGCTGGCCCATTCCAAATACTGAATACCCGCCTTTGGCCTGTCTAAAATTTGGAGCCCCACAGCTCATAGAAGTGTTGAGAACATCTAACTTGCTGTAAACATCACGGACCATAAAATATTTCCCCTGTAAATAAAGAGGAAAGGAAAGCAGATTATTTGCTTATACAAAAGAAGTCCAACAATTGGTTCCTTCATAAAATAGAGAAATAAGCAATTGAATTTGTGACCAAAAGATATGATGAATGGTCACTGAACTTAGATGACTTTAAACGGGAATTAGAGAACTTTACAGAGAAAAACTAATCAAGAGCTACTTTCCATTACATTAGATACCCATCTGACCACTCTGATATTATCCGATGCCTACACTACTCCAAAGCTCTGTTCTACACCAAGCCACAGATGTCAAGCAGTGTAAGGATACAGATGAGAATGGGAGCAAGAGTGGGAGAGGAGGAGGAAGTAAGGTGATAGAGGACAGATGGGGAAGGCAGAAGACAGCTACAGAGGAGCGAAGAAGCAAGCAAGGCAGCGGAAGATGGAGGGTGAGAGAGCAGTGTAAGGATACAGATGAGAATCGGAGCAAGAGTGGGAGAGGAGGAGGAAGTAAGGTGATAGAGGACAGATGGGGAAGGCAGAAGACAGCTACAGAGGAGCGAAGAAGCAAGCAAGGCAGCGGAAGATGGAAGGTGAGAGTACATAAGAGTGGAACGGAGGATTGGAAACGGTCTAAGATCTGAGCCTTTATATTGACACTGACTCCAGTGGGGAATCAGGATTCTATTTACAACAGCTAGATTTACGACCATTGCTGGAAAACCAATTAAGTCATAAGCGCAAGGATCTACTGTGTGACTGGTAAGAACCTCCATGTTCAGAGGCAATATGCCACCAAATTCCACCTTCTTGGCGTAAGAGTGGAGAAAGCCCAATGCTCACTTGCTCTGCTTTCTCTGGAGTCTTCTGATCTGCCCCTATGAGAACAAGGCTGCTGGGCTTTAGGCCGGTTCTTTAAAACTCTTCCTAGGTTCACATTCATCAGTCTCTACATCATGAAGTCACATTATAAAAAGAAAGAGTGTCCAGAGGTGGGGCCAAGGTGCTCACCTGTACAAGGTAGTGTTCTGGAGTAGCCTCTGTAATGCGCCCCACAGTATAGCCAGCCTTCAACAAATCATCATGAATCTGAAATTCCTCTCTGCAATTGTAGCTGAAAAAAAAACAAAATCGGAAAATAGATGCTACTAAGATAAATCTTAGGATGTGAAACAACAATTTTAAGAGGTGGCAAGGATATTTTGAAAAGAGATTTTAAAAGACTATTCTGAGGGGGGAAGTGCAATTATATTTAACAATATTTCAATCTGCCGAAGAGTCTATTTTTCTCCTATATTTTTATGCCCTTAAGTAAAGCCAACCAGTCATAGTGGAAGCTTGCCTTCAGAGATGATCATGAACATATACAACCATGAATTGAACAAAATACAAAGGAAATAAGGATGGAATATTTCAGCTTTCACATAATTGAGGGGCAGAAAATTTTTCCTTTCCTGTGATGTAAATTCTACTGAATGTTCATGTTAAGTCCTCCTTTGGTTTCCATCTGCATGTTCCACATGTCAAGTTTTATCTTGCACTAGGGTTAATCTTTCTCTGACAAGTCAACAAGTAATGGCAGACAACTGCAGAGTCTTTACTCTTTCAAGTTCTTGTTCTCCTAGGGCAGGCCTGCATAACTTGTGTTATCCAACAAGACGAAAAACAGGCCACCACTGACTCAAAAGGGCTCATTAAAGCTACACACATGCACACCCCTTTTTCCTCTTTCCTGCTGGAGTGGCATGGGGGCTCCTATTGGCATAGGTGTGAGGATACCCAATGGGTCACAATATAAGGCCAATCAAGTTCAATCAATTTGGTGCACAACAAACAGCAAAGGCTTAAGAACCTTCCTCAGACCTGGGCCTTCCAGGTGCGCTAACTACAACTTCCATTACCCAATCAGCATGGACAATCCTGTGCTGCCTGGGGATGATGGGGGTTGCAGCCTAATATGTCTCAAGGGCATCAGCTTGTGGGAACAATGGGTAAATACAGAATACTATACTAAGGAAATATGGGCCTAAGTCCCATACTTTGGTATTCAGAGCCTGCCAAATAGGGACTTCTCCCACTTGCTATATAATTGTATGGTGCTACAAAAAACTGCCCTAGGGAGTTTTCCAACCCTCTACAGCAAGCTTTCAAAACATACAGGAGGCTGCAGGAAGAAGTGGGGATTGTTGATCCTCCTTGAACCAGGGGGATCTAGCAGAAATAGACCACTGGATTCTGGCTGTGAAGAAAAGTACTCAGAAAAACAGGAAGGGGTTGAGACAAGGAACCAGAATGACATTAACAAAGACATTAACAAAGTCTGATTGTTCTACCAAACTGACCGGAGGCAAATGTGACACAAAAGATAGTCAAATATGTGGTATACATCTAACTGTTTAAGTAGATGCTATGGAGGAATAGAATCCACAGAAGATCATGAAGCACTAAAAGGCTCCTATGGAGATTCAAGCGCTTAAAGAACACTGCTGGTTGAGACAACTCACGTAATGACTACAGGGGCCACCTTATTGGTAATAATCGACTTGGCTTTGTTGTTGTGGAGGCCAACCGTCTGGAAGGAGTGGATGCTAAGGGAATGGCGGTCTTCCATGGTTCCGTTGCTGTGAATATTCTCAAAAGTTGCTGTTGCCACTGTCTGCTGAGCTGTGCTGGCAGTTGTACCCATAATCTACAGGCAACTGTAGAAACAGAAAAATAAAAAAAGACAGAAATATTAAGGAAGGTCAAATCTGCATCATCCGCATCCAGAGAAAGACCAATGCAACAACAAGTGGTATGAATATATTGAGGAAGAGTAATTTAGATTGGACATTTCCTTTAGGAAAGTGGTTTTCAGGGAAAACTTGGATAGGACAACCCAAATGTGCTTTTGACTGCCATTTTTAATTTTCCTAGTCTCTTATGGTCCAACTCATAAGAACATAACACAAGAAGAGCCCTGCTACATCAGGCCAAGGGCCCATCTAGTCCAGCTCCCTGTATCGAAGCACACGAGGTAACTAGATACCTGTCTCCTGATACCCCCTTCCCCTGTATACGGCATTTTCTACTCTTAGATTTGCCACATGTTCCTTTGTGATTGGGGGAGGGAGCTTGCTTGTGTTTTTGGTATTTTTCCCCCTTCAGTTTTTATATTATTTGTTTTTAATATTGTAGGCCAACTTGGGTCCTCTTGAGGAGAAAGCTGGGGTATAAGTAAGTAAGCAAGTTATTTCAAATAAATAATAAAGGAATAATGGAGTTTGACCAAGGTGTAAGATTCTGTGCGCCTGAATTTACAGATATAAGACAGGGACTCCACCAATCTCCCCTGACCAAATAGACTCCAGTAGCATTTACAAACAGGAGACAGAAGGCTGTACTCACAATGCTTGAAAGCAAACAATTAAGCAAACTATGTTGGCTGAGTGACAATTCATTTCCTCTGTTACACTTGTATCTTTCCCTGAACATTATACCAAAAGTTTTCCCCACACTACACCACCCCACCCTCTCTCCAATCACCCTATATCCTTCAACACTAACCATCTCTATCTTGTAAAGGTCCCCCCACCCTTTTTATCTCCCTTTCTCAGCATTCCAAAGGTTTTGTTTTTGAACCTATTTGGCCTAAATAGTGGGTATCTCACTGTCTATTGTGCAAGTTTATGTATGTTAAATGTATTCTGCAGTTCACACTGATTGTAACCGATGTGTAGATTCCCAGGACATTCCTAAATCTATTTATAAAACATTTAGCAACACTCCATATCTCTCGATAACATGGATGCTCTTTATGTTTAGTGAGTTCATGACCAGGACACAATTGGAACTGGATTTGTTAAGGACGTGAGCCAATATGCTACAAGATCTTTCATTTCCTCGCATCTTATGTGACAATATCTCTCTTTCACTCACAGCAAAGTTATGTAGGCGCTATAGTTCTATCTATATCTATCTTATCTTCCCCTGGCTCAGAAACCTTTCATAGCTACACAGAGTGTTGCATTGCCAGCTCCCAGGACGTGGTTTTTAAAACATATGTACGGCAGAGCTTAGAAATAGCTCATTACAAATGATGCAGTTACTAGTAACTAGTACTGGGTGTAACATAATGTAACAAGTAACTTTTCCAGTTATTTTCAAATAGTACTTTCCCAGGACATTTTAAGGTATTTTTAGAGGCATTTTCACAGGAATTTAATTCTCTTATCACTTATTGGCAAGGGATATATGTGCTGTTCTGATTATGGTTTTACTTTTCAGCTCTGAAAATGTGGAAGGCATGGAGTTTCCCCTGCATGCATAATTATGGTGCGTGTCAACAAGAAAATGTGATGGCAATATAATGATAATGTAGCAAATACATTTGATTTCCAGGCAATAACAACAATAATAATGAGGTGTACATATCATAATGCACTCTTCCCTAACAAGTAATGTAAGGAGTTACTTTGGAGAACTAAAATTCCAAGCTCTGCCACTTCCTGTATGGCTATTCCTCCATATTTCCCACAAAGGCTAAGCAATCTGTGATCTCGGATCAGACAGACTAGGACACAAGAAACAGATGGATTGTCTTCTATTAAGAACAGAGTGACAAAAGAATAAAGAAGTGCTACAGAACATTGCAACAGATTTAACTGATTCCCAAGGCCATTTAAGCTTAGTTTTCCTGTTGCATTCTTTGAAACAAAGAAACTGGAATGTGTCATACAAACAGAAGACACTAAGTGAGTAACCTTGCTTTCTACAGTTTGCAGCAAAGAAAGCAATGGAGAATCATAGCAACAACAGAGAATTTAGGACAGAGAAGATAAGGTATCACCAGTTTTTCTACAGCATGATAATCAGCAGTCACTAATGGCCTTATTCTTCAAAAACCCTATGACTACCACATAAATGATGCTCAGCTATTGGATGTCTCTTCCAAAATCATTCCTGATTTTTCATCCTCTTTCATGGGAGTAATTCCCAGGGGCAAGCTCTCATCTCTGTTTTGAAAGGTAGGCAATACAACAAGCTGTTCACCTTTACTGTGAGAGTGGCGAAAAACTGAAATACAGACTTAAGCACTCAAGTGCTCACACATACTGAACCTGCCTTATCATTTCAGCTGAAAGTTTTCAATCACAAACTATTTGGTTTATGCGTTTTCCAAAAGACCAAACAAAAGCAAAAACACTCAACCTGGATTAGACCATAGCTGAAGAAGTAGTTCTTTAGGTAGCGTTCATTCGTTTAGTCGTTCAGTCGTGTCCGACTCTTCGTGACCCCATGGACCAGAGCATGCCAGGCCCTCCTGTCTTCCACTGCCTCCCGGAGTTGTGTCAAATTCATATTGGTTGCTTCAATGACACTGTCCAACCATCTCATCCTCCGGTATAGTTAGTTTTTAATATACCATTGGATTAGGTTTTCATTACTGTCACTGCTACTTTTCAAGAACCTAAGAGGAATTCATAGTTTCAAGAGCATCTCTTTTTCAATCAACAAATAGAGAACGAGGAATAGAATCATAGAATCACAGAACAGTGCAGTTGGAAGGGGCCTATAAGGCCTCCTGTCAATACTTGACTCTTACTTTTAGTCTTTTGTTCTATTTTCCATCTTGATCAATACTAACATTGTCAATTTAATTCATGGTTTTAATTGTTTTATGAATAATGTTATTGTGAGCCGCCCTGAGTAGACATAGTCTAGAAGGGCGGGATAAAAATCTAATAAACAAACAAACAAACAAACAAAATCAAGTCCAACTCCCTGCTCAATGCAGGAATACCAATCAAAGGATATCTGCCAGGTGGTTGTCCCTCTCACGCTCATTCTTTTAGCCTCATTCACGAGAACTTCCTTATGACAAAAATCCCTTCACAAAGTTGTGTGGAAAAAGCTCCGTTGCCATTAACAAACAAAGGAAATCTTGTTTTCAATCAGCCAGCAGATGGCACACCAGAGTAACTGGATGGTTACCATGAGCTGGAAGCAATTTCACAAGCCCACCCTTGCCCAAATGCATGAAAAGAAATTAATTCTGTGCTGTCAAGCTAATTCCAATTTATAGTAACTTTTTAAGGATTTTCCAGGTAGAGAATACTCAGATTACCCTTTTCTCCTTCTGGGGGCGCCCTGGGACTGTGAATTTCACAAGCCCACCCTTGCCCAAATGCATGAAAAGAAATTAATTCTGTGCTGTCAAGCTAATTCCAATTTATAGTAACTTTTTAAGGATTTTCCAGGTAGAGAATATTCATATTACCCTTTTCTCCTTCTGGGGGCACCCTGGGACTGTGCAATTTGCCCAAGGCCAGTGGTTCCCAAACTTTTTCAACTCACAGCTTGCGTGACTGACTGGCCATTGGCCATGCTCCCTCCCCCCCATATGAGAGAGAGAAGAAAGGGGGGAAGAATGGCCTGAGTAGTACCTCCACAGGTTCCACAGAAGTACTTCAAAGGACTCTGCAGCACCTCTAGCTAGGTTTGGCAGTGACCCAGGACACCATGGCACACAGTTTGGGAACCACTGTCCAAGGCCACACAGGCTGACTCCTCTAGGATCTGAACTCCCTACCTCTTAACTCCTAACTCACTGAGTTATCAACAGAAGGTAAGGTACAACACTGATAGACTTTGATATACAGTTATTTCTTCAGGCACAGTATATAAACTTTTAAATTGAAGTCTGTCTCTGAGTTGTTATTTTACATCAAACTATGCTGGCATCTGGTCTGGCACACAGTATGTTTAAGATCTGGCACCCATTAGCTCTATTATGATTTTTGGATAAGACATTTGGTAATTATGTTTTTACAGGAGTTGGACACTGTTTGCATGGGAGCAGACAGTAGAACTGGGTTCATACCCGCACCCCTGATATGTCTGTATTCTGTAGATCGGATCTAAAGATGCCACTTTAAAATAAACGGGGCTTTATCTCAAGCAATATGGTTCTTTGAATCCTCCCACCCACGTTCCAGCCCTTCTTCAAAATGGGTTAGATTGTACCCTCTCCCACACATATCTTGCATGTTCAAGGCAAGACATGACAGTGTAGGCAAGAAAACCTTAGCTGATGAATTCAGACTGTCACCGAGAGATAACATGCACATGACAAGCTTATAAAATTAATCATTTACATCAACCTGATGACTGGCAGTGAGAACTGTATTGCTTCTCCCAGATATCTGTTCAAATGAGGACACAGCATACAATTTCTCTTCACCCTTATGCAGGATTACAAAGTAGGAACATGCACGCTGCAGTTTAAATTACCACTTTGTAAACACATTTGGCCAATGATGGGGTGGTTCTTCATGTCAGTACATAACCGGAAGAAAAAGTGTGGACAAAAATTATGAAACTGGAGTCTTCCAGAATTTGAACCATACACTTCTAAAGAAGAAGAAACTAATTTTAGGAAGAAGAGGAGCAAACTGCTTGTTCCTAGAAGTTAAGAATTCTGCCAGCCGCTTCATGGGAAACAGACACACACTCTGTAAGTAAGTACTCTGGCTACATTAAGATGGAAGTGGCCATGGACAAGCCACAAAATAGTTTCCTCCTTGCAGGGACTGATCAAACAACTACTTTTTCTACTCTCCTGCTTTGGGCAGGGTAATTTTTTAACCATTTCATTTTGATCACTTTTTTTCATCCCCACACTTGGCAACCTGTGTGTCACAAAACAAAGTTCCTTGTA